CTTTAGCTCAATTTGGAAGGTACAAGATGCGTTGTATATACAGAACACTTTGGCAGTTAGTCCCTCCATGTATTCAGGTAAATGTCTATTCAAATCTTGAGTCTAAAATAATTTTTTTAAAGAAATTTGAATTTATTAATAAAACACACACATGTATATATATATATATATATATATATGCAATGTATGAAATTTGAAAATTTAAAAATACATATATTTTTTTTGTACCTTTAATCTGTTAAATAACAGTTCAGTGGATCCCTTATCCTTCAGAAATATTTTAAGATTTTTGAAGACTTGTTCTATTACTTCCACCGAATTTATGTATCTTATTGAATCTTTAGCTAGAAAATTGAACTTGACTGTCATTGGCGGTACCAAAGTAATATGCTCTTTCATCAGTTTTTTCATTTACTGCTCTTAGTGAAAGCCTGTCAATAAGATACATAGTTATAGCACGTTGACAAACCAAACTGAGTCTATCTTTTAAATCCAATATGTAATCACACCAAATTTTTTCTATGTGCTTATTGAGCTCCCTAGCTTTATCAAATTTTTCAAGTCAATTTGACCTTTAAGTGAGCTATTGGCTGCTAAAAACACATATTTATGCTGTCATTACATTCTCCTTCCAGGTGGTGAGTCAGGTAACTATGTTATAACGTAGAATACCATCCCAGGAGTGGCCAGCAGGTGGAGGAGGGATAAGTGCATATTTACTGATATTAATTGTTATTTGCTTGGAGGTGACTCTCTACTTCAATGAACCAGTTTTAGGATGATCACCATGATCTTTAAACAAACCAAGTGGCTCAATTCTAAAATTACCAATTTTTTCTTTATGTCCATCTAAGTAACAATAACCATAAAATTCATCAACCCTGGTCTTTTCGTCTTTCAACTTTTGTTTTCCTCTTTTGAAAAATTCTTTCTTTGTTCCTTTTCTTCTTGTAAATAGTTGTATATAGAAGTAAGATCACATTTTTCAAAATCCTCAATTAGTGGATTTTCTTCGGATTCTTCCAAGATAACTTGCCAATCTTTAAAGAAAGTTTTTGTTGAAAATATTGTTCTTTTAATAGTTGTGTTTAATAATGCAGCATAAAATGTAGCTACTTCTTCAGCTTCTGGAATGAGTTTGATTTCAAGCCCTTTGAAAAAAGAAATCAATAATGATTATTATAAAAAATTTATAAATATAATTAAAATTATAATAACAACAACAATAATAATATTTCCATACCATTATATTTCATCTTAATATTATGAGGAACGTATTCTGGAGGAAAACAGACGCCGTTATGAATTTGGCATTTTTATAATTTTATAAAAAAGACTGTTAAGGGAAAAAAAAAAAAAAAAACAAAATATTATATTATTATTGGCACTTGGTGTTGTACAAAGATTTTTTTTTTGTTAACGTGATTTGATTTTTGAAAAAACATCTATTTTCAATGGTAAAACGTGAATGATGTTGTTTGGTATGGGTTTGGGTCTGAAGACGTGTTAATGACAGAGGTACTATTTTTTATTTGCATTGATATTTTTATTTGCATTGATATTTTTATTTGCATTGATATTTTTATTTTAGTTTATAAATATTTTAGCAGATGTGTACTTATAGACTCATCAAAGCTTTCTAGGTACAAGAGAGAGGCAATAAATTTATAAAACAAGTCAATTAATATAAAAGCTTGTGATTAAGAAATGAGTGCGGCTCAAAAGTTAATTCAAACTCAGCCATACATATTTTGGACATTGATTATGATATTATGCCTCATCCACAAACTTCTATTCATGTAACCTTTACAATATACAGTATATACTTTTACTATTTAGGAAAAATTGTTTTACAATGCAAATTGGCAATATAATGTAAATCCAAAGTCGTATAATTGTCATTACACAGTAAATCTTGGTTTAAAAAAATCAGTTTAAACCGAGATATCCGCTATATCGAGAAGGTCTTTATTAAGGTTTATTATGGAACTGTTCTTTGAACTTTATACGTAAAACTGAGATTTTTAATTAGTATTTGCTAATTCGAGATCCGCTAAATCAAGATTCACTGTGTATTAAAAAATAATTTATTATTATTAAATCTGAAAATGGAGGTTTTTTTTGAAATCTCTTAAATTTTAATATCGTTGATCGGCGGACTACCAATTAATAAACAAATGAAAATCTGTAATACATGAACCCAGTGTAATATCGATCTGGCGCACTCTTTAAAAAAAATTGCGTGATAAAAAGCATTGTTTTGCAACTTAGGTTACCAAATTATATGTGCAAAATTTCACATCTCTAACATTTTTATTAAACTAATGATTAAAACAAATAAAATTTCGGCCCCAATCAACAAAATGTGCAGTAAATGGAAGTTGATCATTTTCAGCAACCTTCCTTGCAAAGGTAAAAATTTTGAATTAGTTTAAAAAGTTAAGTATCAATTATTCAAAGATTTAAGAAAAAAAAAATTCCAAATTCTAACTAAATAAAGTCGAAGAAAACAAATTGAATCAGATCAGATAAAATATGTACAATTAAAATGAAAGAAGGTGATAAGTTTATACTTTTGGCTTGATTACTACTATAAATGGTATTTGACAATTAAATTTTATGAAGCAAGAAACGAAGAGCATTATTATAAAGCCATTAATATATTGTGTTGTTAAACAATTTTGGCTAATTTGATACCTACAAATTCTTTGTTGCAGCATGCCCCATTTTTATGGCGTCTTTTCAATAGAAAGGAACATGTTGGAAAAAAAAATTTTTTTTTCGGAGTTCTAAAAAGACGCCATATTAATATTGTCTATTAATTGCATGTGTATGCATGTATATTAATATGATTGATGATCATAGAACATTTTATCGGGAACATCTATTAAAAATAAAGATGATATGACTCATCAATAAATTTATTTTTAATTATCGTGATTCGGAAAATTTTATTTTTAAATATTGTTGATAATTATTAATTGTTATTTTGGTTGGCGTTTCTCTCTTTCTTGTTCATCATATGCATCATAAATGACGAAGATTATGACACAGGTCCATACCGGAATATGTCACAGATGGATAAGTATCACACCAGAAAATTGATGATCTGGGATCAGAACTCGCAAACTGATAAACACTGTATCCAGTCAATCGGATGGTTCTTTAAAAAGACTAGCTCTTGGGTTATAGGTTGCAACATCAATGATTTAAATCATATTCTGCCTTTTATCAGACGGCATATGAAGGAAGGTGCGGCTTCTTCTAAAAAACTTCTATCCGGGAAGGCTCTTAAAATCAGATTTTAATCTGCATGTTATACATACAACAAATGCTTAGCAACAGTTAATATCAAAAATATAAATAAAAAAGATTTGTGAAAATTATACAAACTACAATAAAGAGATTGGCACAGGTAAAAAAATCAACTTGACCTAGGTTAAACATGAACCAAATTTTTGGCATATTTACAAACATTCAATCATTTACCAGTGTGAGGAAATAAAAGAATTGAATTTTCATTCTTCAATCAAGTGAGAACATATCTAAAAAAATAGACTGTTGTCTCGCCGTGAATCGTCTTGATGAATTCTGCTCATGTATGCATAAATTAAAGCCAATCACCAAGATTCTAAATTTTGGTAGTTAAGAGAATAAAGGTGATAGAATCCAAAGTGAAAGGAATCCTGTTCATGGTAAAGCAAATAAGTGTAAAGGATATAAGTTCCGTTGATACGAATGTCATTGAAAATTTGCAAAATGGATATGTGTAGAGTAGTTTAAAACGCTAAACAATAATGATGATTTTAGAAAAATTCAACCTAAAACTTCAAGGCAAATAAATGTTGACCTTAATTACACTATAATTACCGTTTTTTATTTCATAAATCCGCGAGAATCCTTGGTGCAAAACAGTCATATGAACATATTAGTAAAATGTGGGGATACTGTGGGACGAATCTAACAAAATCTGGGACCTTTAGATGTACAACTTGCAATTCCATCAATGACAGATATACTTTTTAAAGTATGTTACGGAAGCACAACAAGAGTCGCTCGCGATGTTGGGACTTACACACGAGACACACCTTATTGTAGGCTGTCTATGTAAGGCTTAGACTTGGTTATAGTAATAGGTTCAATGTAAGAGGAGGTTTTTCTTTTTCATTACACAAAATTAAAATTTTAAAATAAAAAACAAGTGATACAAAATTATTAAATTATTCTTTTTTAAAAATCACGCCCGTTTTGTTGTAAAAAGTGCATAAAAATATTTAAATTATTTTTTCTAGAGATGGACTAATTAATATTTAAACATTATAATAACAATATTGATTACCAAAATCTGTTATTGTTATAATAATAAAATTCATGCCCAGCTAAATACAGCAGTGTGCAATTTTTTAATTGGTGTTTAAATCGATCATGAGATAAACAAATGTACTAATTTGTGAGGAAAAATAAAGTTGTGTAATTTTTATTTTTAAAAACGTAATAAGAATCGAGTGAACGAACGAACTAACTGACTAACTAACGAATGTACGAACAAACAAACGAACGAACAAACGAACAAACGAACAAACAAACGAACGAACGAACGAATTATTTGAATTATATTTATTTTATTTTTTTCATCTTCATTTAAAACAACACATAACAATAACACATAATTATAATACGCATCTTTATTTTGACGTTTTTTTTTTCTAATTTAAAGAGGCAAACAAACAATTCTCTTTTTTATATATTTGAAATAGTTCTATTCTCAAACAAATTGTAGCTCCTAATGAATAATTGGTGTTCAGTTATTATACCATATGGGTTTCATAAACATTTTTATTTTAACTGCATTTATCCGAATTTGAAATTTTTATTTTGGCGGGAAAAAAAATTTAGAGAATAACTTTCCTAATATTATTTACATCAATATAAACTATAAAGTATTAAATAAATTATAATTAATATGCTGAACCAATTAATTAACATAATAACAATTAAATGATTTGCAGGTTTGCATAAATAAAATTTTTTTTATTATACTTAATTATACTTAAACTATTCTAAAAATGGATAATCAGTATTCTTGCTAATATACATTGATGTTCAAGAATTTTCAGGGACCAAAATTTAGTGACTTGGTACAAATAGTCCCCATATCTTTTGTTGTAAACAATGCTCATTAAGCAGCATTTTAAAGTCTCTAATCTAAATAATACCAATTCAACTCCCTTTTTGATGGTAACAGCACGGTTATTTATTAGACGTAATATATATTCTAACCATATCCGATACCAGTGGCTTAACATGTTTATTCAGAGCTTTCTGGCGTCATAGAACAGACGCCAAACTATTCATCAATACTTTTCCAAATCCACAGATTTTGTATCGCCAAATGTTTGTATGATCAACATATTAACTCCTTATGACTTGATTCTTCATCTATACAGTGGACCTAGAACCCTCATTATTTTATTGATCTTTTTATCAACAGCCTCGCTGTTTGAAACTGCATCTAGAGTTATTAAGCAACCATCACGTTTAATGACTGCTCCTTCAAGTACTTTTAGAGATTTATTTTTCTAAGATAATAAATTAATAATATATATATGTATGCATGCATACATATATATATATATTTATATAAATAAATAAATAAATAAATAAATAAATAAATAAATAAATCAAAATCCCAATTCTTACCATTAGTATATTGTTTACAAACTTTTACGTTTTACGGGCTTCTAACTCATCTGAACCACACTTTCTACCAATGAATTCTTTTGCCCAAACCTAAAATAACAACATGGCTGCTTATTGTCATTGATTATTCAAAATGGAAAACTAGTGCTACAAATAAGTGATAAAAATTACTATTAGAATAAGCTGTTTCAGGTTGAAACCCAAATGTTGTGTAACAGCACTTTGAAAATGCTTATTATATTAATTAAAAAGTGAAATTTCTCGTTATATTTCCAAAAGTTTTAGTCCATCAATAATGAGAAATAAAGATGCGGAGAGAGATGGTAGTATAGAGTCTGATATATCTGGTGAAGAGTTATTTTTAGACATGCTTGTGATTTATGAGTTTGTAACATCACCTCAATGGCACACATAAGCAATGTTTTGTATTGATGACGAAAATTAAATTGATGGAATTGGTGAAGCGATAAGAAAAATTTCATTGTGAACCTGAAAATATGCATAGGCTACGTATGCAAAGCCTGGAACACCGGTGCCAACAACAATTTTCAAACCG